GGATATCATATTATCCTTCAGTAAATCTCCAGATTAAACAAAACTTTGAGAAGTTGATTTTGAACCCACATAGGATAGTGTTTTTCAGGCATCCATATGGGTCCCAACACATAGCCCTGTAGAGGAGGGAGAGGAGGTTCTATATCAGATTTGGAAAGGGATTAGATAGATCTTCAGCAAGTTCCCCACATTTAATACCTATGTCGTCAGCTGCGCTGCTTAAGAGGGAAATTGGGGATCTGCAGAGTGGCGGCGGCATGGTTCACTGCGACACATTCAGTCGGCAAGCCGCATTCAACAAGTGCGGCGGCCGTGGATCGTGTGAAAATTGTGATCCAGTTGCTCCTTTGGTTCACAATCAGTGTCCACGAGGCATAATCTCTCATACCCATAACTTTCAACTGCGTTGTCAATTTTTTAAGGGTATATTGTTCATTTTGAATTATTTTAAGTGACCTATTTTATTCTTCCTCATGAGCAAACTGTTATTCTGCGTGACTCTGTTCTACTTCTTCTGCGGGCAAACTGTGAAGGCCCCTGTTTCTCTTGCTTTTCCTTCTTCTGCGTGGGAAGACTGCTCTTTTGGTTTTCTTTCTTCTCTTCCTCCGGTCTTCTGTTCTTCAGTTTTTCCACTGTTCTTTTGTTCTCCTCTCTTCTTTTGATTACTTTTAGAATTTCATTTAGTAGCTACACTATATTGGGTTTTGATTTTTAATTTTAGTGACAAATGACCCAAATTAATTGTAATTTATAATTATTCAGTATGATTGTCCCTTTAAATTTGTGTATTTTGTGTATCCTTTTGGGATTTATGTTTAGATTGTTTACTGTTTTTTAGTCTTCGCAATGACAACTATCCCCACTATAGTTGATTTACGGCCTGGCGTTCTGCACTGCAATCCGAGATTAACAACATAGTTTAAAACACAACTATGAGAAGTTGAGTTTGAACCTAAATTGGATAGAGTCTTTCTGACATTCACGAGCCCCTCAGAACATGGCCTTTTAGTGGGGCATTGGAAGTTGGATGCTAGATTGGCACAGGGATTAGTGATCTTTTTAGCAAATATGCCTTTCTTGTTTTATTGTGTAATTTCTTTTGCATTTACATGAGTCGATGAATTATGCTTTTAATAAAAAGTTTATTTACTATTCAGCCAATTAGTCTCTTATAGATTATCTGAAAATTAAGTTTTGACAATAATTTTTAATTGTAGGTTTGAAAAGTTACTTACACATAGAGATGTGTTTACTTATTCCTTTCTTTTGAAGTTTTCTTTGTTTAAACATTTATATTGTCACCAATATTAAAAAAATTACTTTGATTTTTCAGCATGTTTTACTTTCTTCTTCTATAATCTGGAAAAGAGACTTCGACTTCTGTATCATGGACATTTTATAATGTGATGGGAAAAACAAAATATTAATATAAATGTTACACTGCTCTTTTTTTTCGTTGCTGTTTTGCATGTGCTATCCTCTTTCTTTGTAAGTTTTTGTCTTAATTCCTTAATATAGATAATTTTTTTGTTATTCAGACCCACAAATGGGTGAACGCATACTAGATATGTGTGCTGCTCCAGGAGGGAAAACAACTGCAATTGCAATACTTATGAAGGATAAAGGAGAGGTCATTGCAACTGATAGATCTCATAACAAGGTGGAAATTCCAAACTGTATTTGAATCTTGTAGACCTTTAATAAACTTATTTATGGCTTCTTAACATACTGATGTTTGATGCTTGTCTAGGTTCTGGATATTCATAAACTGGCAGCTGAATTGGGGTTGACTTGCATAAAAGCATTTAAGTTAGATGCCCTTAAATCTGTTTCTCGAAGAAATGATAATGATACTTTTATTGATACATGCCATAATAATGTCACCAGTGACTTGAAAAATCAAGTGCCTTCAAATTTGCAAGTAGAAAGAATCTCACCACTTGTTACCGAAAGTTTTAAAACTGAGACTTTGGAAGAAAATGGTAGGTAAGTTCTATTCCTGTTCTTGCTAGTTGCTACTTACTTGCTAACTTGTGGTTCATTTACACATTAGAGAAAGTTAGAGAAAGCATTAAACACTCTAATATTCTCTTCGTCTCATTTTGGGTTTCATTTAAGGGGATGCCTAATATTTCTTATAAAAATGATGTTGTGCTGATTTGTACAGTAAAAAAATATGTTAAGACCAAGGTAATTAAAACCGGACCGGGTATTAAAACGGAGTAGGTATGGGTTTAAGGTTTAAAGGTTCGACCGGTAATTATTAAATATAATTTTAATATTTATAAATAATATATATGATATTAATATAATTTTTTTATCCTTATATATTATTTAATAATGTAAACAATAGGTAAAGGTAACAAGGCACATGAAGGAGCTTATCCTAGCAAAGCTGAGATCAGAAAGAGCATGAGAAAAGCGCGAAATGGACCTGGTAGAAATCAGAGTGGGGGTGGCAGGGTTGATAGTTCAAAAGGTTTTGATCCTGACAGTTTTGATAGAGTTCTTCTTGACGCTCCCTGTTCTGCCCTAGGTTTAAGGCCTCGATTATTTGCTGGAGAGGTAGAAGATCTGTTCATTGAAATTCACACTTCATTTACTTTAATCTATACTCACATTCAGACCAATTTGCACGCACTGATGCAAATATTGGTAGCAAATAGGAACCTGGCACCTGCATATCTTAAAGTAGGAGTTGACTCATTTTTCACTTCTGAACTAATAGCACATAATTTTCAACAAGACAACAACTAAATCCCATTCCATAACGTTTATTTATATCTTCGCATATACCTGAATTTCTCTATAGGATGTAAAAGATGGGTCAATAGTTAGAACATAGTTTGGCCAGTGTAATGTGCAGTCATCTTCTCTATGTGGATGGTTTAGTTTGCTATTGTATTTTCATGATATAAATATGTTTAAGAACCAAAAACAAAAAAGATAAGTGACCATGCAGTGCCTTGTTTTTGGTAGGACACAATTGAATCTTTAAGAAGCCATGCAAAATACCAGAGAAGGATGTTTGACCAGGCTGTCCAATTGGTTCGACCTGGCGGGGTAATAGTCTATTCCACGTAAGTATGTGTACATACATTTTGTCGATCAAATTTCCCCATGCATGCTTGACCTTATTATTACAAGTTTTCTATCACAATCTGCGGTCATGTATTAACAGTAGTTTTATTGGATCCCGGTGGGGTAGTCTTTATTTTTGTGATGTTTCTGTAAAACTGATCTGTTGACGCTTATCTTGAATAGTTGTACAATTAATCCTGGTGAGAATGAAGCACTAGTTCGATATGCTTTGGATAAATACAAATACCTGTCATTGGCACCACAGGTTTGATGCTAATCTTTTACCACATAGATTTCATATATATTTTTTCCCAGTTAATTAGGCTTCTAAGGCTGAATTTATTGTCTTTTGAAAATATATTGATATGTCTAATTGTGGGAAGGTTGATTCTTCTTACTTATTAGACTAGATAATCTTACAAGATGGGAAAATAAATAGTTAATGCAAACAATTTTTATTTTTTATGTTTCCTTTTCCTGTAATTAGTTAATAGTTGCTCACACAATTTTCCTGTTCATTTATTCCAGCACCCGAAAATTGGAGGACCTGGTCTTGTTGGTAGCTGTGAGTTTCCGGATGGATATGTAGAGTAAGTACTTTCTTCCCAATTTGTGGATCAACCCCTCTCCCACGGCGTGCATGATGATACTGTATTGTTTGATATTTGACATACAATTTTTGCTATAGTTTTAGTTTTGAAGTATAGTTTTTTTATTTTTTTATTTTTAAATCCAAATTATTCTGATTTGTATGCCAATTATTGGCTCACGTTCTCGTCTTTGTATACAGGGAATGGTTACAACCTGGTGAGGAAAACCTTGTTCAGAGATTTGACCCATCAGCTCCTCTTGATACAATCGGATTCTTCATTGCTAAGTTTGCTGTCGGGTCTAAAGATACCTGACAGCTATATCAAAATGGCTAGCTTAGATCCATGTTTATTTTGTGAATTTCCACTGCAGGAAGCCATCCTAGTTTTTTAAATTGGCTTCTGACTAGTCTCGGGAGATTCACATGCGTCCATTTGGTAATTTATTAACGGTGCATCGGAGAATTACGACTAAATATCTGTATGAGCATCGACTTTCTTATAGTGGAAGTAATTTAGTTGTAACTTCGAGTTTTACCTTGGTTGTAAGGAAAAAGATTGTTGAAAATAACTTTGGTTAGACCAAGTCTAGTTCTAAAATATTAGGATTTTGATTAAGTTTCACTCTGCTTTTCATTATTTTGATTTTTCACATCAAAACGTATGCTAGATTTAGACACATATTATACTCACTATTATTTTGGTCAATTCAATTGTTTGAATTTGGCAATGTGACATCAGGCATATTTTAGACGTTTAGTATTCGGAGTCTTACATGGATTTTTAAGATTAGCATTTAGTCGTGGCTTTGTTTATGGAGTGATTTTAAATCAAATTTCTTAAATTTGATTTCATAGTTTAACATGTAGACAAGTTTTTATCATTAATTTCTTTTTATTCAATTTTTATTTTCTATTAAACAGTTTCAGAAGATGAATCAATTATTATATTCAAAATTTATCATTCAAAAGCATTCAAATTCCTTTAAATATACGAATGCATGCGTGTCCGACCAAAAAATTATATTTTTCAAAAACTTTTTCTGACGTTTTTAAAACTTCTTTATACTGTGATTTAACAGTGAATATAAATATACATTTTACAACATGGTCAACACGTTGTTATTAGTAATACTATATATCAAGACATAACTTGGTGGAAACTAAAAGCTGTATTTTATTCCTTAACTTACTAATTATAAAATAGATTCTTTTACACTTCAGTTACTTTTACTATTTTCCCCTTCCCCTCTCATTATGGATATTACTAGTAGCTAAATTTTGATAAACAATTTTTTTCTTCATTTGACAATTGATAAGCATCTAAATATCAACAATCTCCCCACAAACGACCATAATTTGAGTCATTGGAGACAACACCATCGCAAATTTGAGGGTAGCATTCTCCATTAGCATAACCAAAATCAAAATCAAACTTCCCATTGTCATCTGAAAACCAATTCATTGTCATCACTTCATCTAATGGATTGGTTGGCTCCATCAAATCCATCGTATTCAGCCACTCAAAATCATGAACATAATGACACTCATTCTTCTCCAAACAAATTTGTTGCTGCCCCTCTTTCTCCTCATTCATCACACTAGGATTAACATTTCTGGTTTCCTCTAGGGATTCTGCTATACATTCCTTGATGCCATTATCTTTTGCACCCTTCCCCTCTTCTTCTTCAAGCAATTCTCTTAAGAGATTTACATCAATTTCGAAGGCCTCCAAATCAATATCTACTAAATTTGTATCATTATTCTCACATGATGCCATAGAAGTAGAAGAAAGAGGAAAAATAAGCACAAAAAACGGGAGTTAGTTGAAGAGAACTAGTTGGTTTATAACAACATGAAAGTGTTTTAACCTTGCATGTTTTGAAAGAATACATGTTAGGTGTATTTATACACAGAAATATCAGAAAATAGACCATGTCATGAAAATTACATTTACCTAATATAGCGGAATCAAATGGTAACACAAAGTGGGTACGTAGGGTAATGATATAAAAGGTGAGAAAGTTCTAAATTTATTTTTAGATGTGCTTATCTATTACAATACGGCACTAATCAGTCACATGAAATGACAAGAAGCTATTAACATTTTTAAAGGTTTCGTGATTCACGGTTTTCATTGTTATATACAAAGGATGACTCAAGTATTTGGCTAATATCATTAATCAAGAATTTAATGTAGGTAGGTTCATTACTAGAGCATGGTTTTTGTGGTAATGCAATGTAATGGTGTAAGCTTGATTGCGCCATTTACTAAATATAGTGTTACGTGTATGTTTCTTTTGACAATGTTGTTTGGTGCAATATGGTGTCATATAATGGTTGTCGTTTTCGACAAATGTAACTCGTGACTTGTGCATGTGTTGTTTCTCCTTTCTGTATGCTTTCTTCTGCATGTATTTGATTTATAGAAGAAATAATCTTTCTTAAGTAAAAAGCTGAATTTAAAAATAAGAACAATGCCACCGACATGATTGAGTATAATAAAAGAGATTAAGCTTTTATAATACGATAAATTTAAATTTTATTATAGACGTATGTGACTAGTTATATGCATATTGCGTAATATATTTTGTATTCAGTATCTATAGAATTTCATCTGTTTTTGAAGTGCAATTTTGGTTGAAAAGTTGATACGGCAGTAGTAGATGTTTTCTTTTAACAAACAAGTTTGAGTGTTACGAAACTCTTGTGATTCACCGTCCTTTTTCATGCTTTACATGAATTTATATACGGAAGGTCCAATAGAAGAAGAGAAAAAATGTAATTCATGTGCTATTTTAATTTAAAAGAGATTCATTTTATTTGTACATAAATCAAATAAACAAGTTAAAAACACTTCGGAGCGAGATATTCGCTCCCCAAAAATAGGTAACTTCGAGAAACTAGTTGTTGAGACGGACAAACATGCTTGGAACTAGCCGTCGCTTCGAGCAAGAGTATGGTTCTGGACAAGGGTCTCGTGGCCGTTCTTGGATGGATGAACCGTGCGTGACAGACAAAGATGTAACAAAAGGCAACTGATTTTGGGGGTCAGCTGACCAAATTTCCTCGGCTGAGGGATAGAAGAGAAAATAATTTCCTTTGTCCTCAACTGACAATACTTAGGTTATTGGGTTGTTCTGGGTGCAGAAGTGGATAGAGTCATGCCTAACCATTGGGGCAATCGGTAACAAGAGTTTTAAAAATTGAAGAGAAAGTGTAAATTAAATATTAATTTATCGTGAAATTAAATATTAACTTTTCATCATTTTAATAATTTTTAATTTTTTATTCAAACAATGAATTTTATTCTTAAATTATTTTTAAAAATTAAATTTTCTCATTAAAATATTTCATTAAACAACTCAAGAGTTAACAAATTGAAAACTAGGAATACTTAGTATATTATAAAAGATCAAAGGAGTAATGCACCGAGACATATTCCTCCAAACAAGATTGGCCGATGTGAGAGATGTTGTTGAAGCAATCTTATCGGTGCATTGGTTGCCTTCACGATCTATGAGTGATGAAGAAGGATATAAATATGATCTTAACCAACGTATTGATCTATCTAACTTTAAACGTTCAAGTTACAAGCTTAAAATTTTGAAAAGTTAGGATCACCGTTGAAGAATCCATTTCAAGCCATAACTTATTCAAACCAAAGTGTAAATCATTATTAATGACATGAATGACACCAAGTAACTCAGCTTGAAAAGAAGACAAACCTTCCATTAAATCCGAAAAACCATACAAGAAGTCCCCTTAGTCATTGTAGATGTTTTTTATTGGCTGCATTTTGTGGCAAAACACTGTTGTAGGTATGAATGTCATGACTGATGTTATGACATACATAAGGATTGTTCTGCAGGTTAAAGTTTGAATAGATAAGAGCAAGTACGATGGATGTCATGCTGGATGTTATGACATCAAGCGTATGACATCACGGCGCGAAGTATTAGTTTCTGTTATTAGCTCAGGCTATACTTTAGGAAACATTTTAGGAAGTTTAGTTATCTTAGGCGACATATCAGGCACTGCTAAAGATAACATGGAATGTCCTTGACTCAATTGGACGTGCGCAGCTTCATGAAGAGAGGTTTATCTTGGGTAAACCTAACTTATGTATGAAAGCCCAAAGACAATCTGCTGCTATAAATAACAGAATATCAATCCTAATCAGGAAGAGATTGAAGAGTGTAGTTTGTGAGTGAAGAAGTCTGATTGTATCAGTTTTTCTTCACGTGTGTATTGTGTCTTAGGATACTTGTATACCAAGCAATTGTCTGCTGCATGATTGCTTTGGTTTAGTGTGTGTGAACTGTATGTTCAAAGTTTCACTATAAGCTTTTAAACAAGAGTGGTGTGTCACTTGATCAAAGCTGTGAAGCAAGATCAAGGTGTGTTTGAAGTGTGTCTTCAATTTCTCTTTTGTAATCTTGAATTGGTTTATATCACTGTTGTGATTGAGGGGGAGTGAGTTGGTAACTCTGGTCTAGTGTTAGGCTAAAGTGTCATTGGGTAGGTCTTAAGTTAAGAGTGCAAACTGGTTGTTTGACTCTGAATTAATTCTACTAATAGTGAATTTCCTCCCTGCCTTGGTAGCCCCCAGATGTAGGTGTGGTTTACACTGAACTGGGTGAACAATTACTTGTGTTATTTACAGTTTCACGTACAGTTTGATATTAAGTTCAGTAGTCTGTGTTACAGTGGATGTCATAACATCCGTGATAACATCCACTGTTGGGTACCTAGAACTTCAATTGGCATCAGAGCAGGCACTCTGCCTGTTATTTTCTGGGTGAGATCTAGGGAAGAAAAATTCTGGTACTATGGATAAGGATATAGGATTCACAAATAGACCACTAATTCTGGATAACTCTAATTATGACTACTGGAAACCTAGGATGATAACCTTCTTGAGGTCTTTAGACAGCAAGGCATGAAGAGCTGCAAATTCAGGATGGGAACATCCAGTGAAGACTGACCGGGATGGATTATCTATGTTAATACCTGGGGAAGAATGGACCAAAGAACAAGAGGCCTTGGCTCTTGGAAATTCTAAGGCTTTGAATGCCTTATTTAATGGTATAAACAAGAACATCTTCAGACTAGTGCATCATTGTGAACTGGCTAAAGAGGTTTGGGATACTCTCAAAAATACTCATGAGGGAACCTCTAAAGTCAAGATGTCAAGATTACAAATGCTGACAACCAAGTTTGAAAATCTGAGAATGAAGGAGGATGAGATTATTCATGAATTCTACATGAATATTCTTGAGATTGCCAACACCTCAGGTGCTTTAGGAGAGAAGATGTCTGAAGAAAAGCTTGTGAGGAAGATTCTAAGATCCTTGCCTAAGAGGTTTGCCATGAAAGTCACAGCTATTGAAGAAGCTCAGGATATATGCAACATGAAAGTGGATGAACTCATTGGTTCACTACAAACTTTTGAGATGGGAATGTGTGATCAGGTTGAGAAGAAGAACAAAAGCATAGCCCTTTTCTCAAATACTGCAGATGACTCTGAGGAATACAATGATGAAAGTGAGGAGAATCTGTCAGAAGAAACAACCTTGCTTGGAAGACAATTTAACAAACTTATCAAAAGAATAGATCATAAGTCTAGGCCTAATGACAAGAACACTACTTCTGACATCAGCAGAAGAAGTAAAAATGAAGAAAGGACCAGCCAAGGCAAAAGAGTTCAATGTCATGAAAGTGAAGGATATAGGCACATTAGAGCTGAATGTCCTACCTATCTCAAGAAGCAAAAGAAGAGCCTAGCAGTCACTTGGTCTGATGGAGATTCTGAGAATGGATCAGAAGAAGAGTCTGCCAAAAATATCACTATTCTGAATAGTGTTTGCATATCTGATGGTGACTCAAGTGAAGATGAGCTGACCTTGGATGAGCTTGCATCTTCATATAAAAAGCTATGCACCAGAAGTACAGAAATATATCAGCAAGGAGAGCAACAAAAGAAATGCATAGGGAAATTAGAGGTTGAGAAAGTTGATCATCTTGCAACAATAGACTCTCTCAAAAGTGAGGTCAGCTTATTGGAATCTCAATTGGATCAAATGTCAAAATCCATAAGAATGCTAAATCCTGGGACTGACACTTTAGAAAAAATCCTACAGAGTGGTCAGAAAGGTGGAAACAAGTTTGGACTTGGATTTGTTGCAGAACAGAAACCCATCTTGGGGTCCAATAAGCCAAAGGTTGAGAATCAGAAGTCAAACCGGATGTCACGACCAATGTCACAACATCAGAGGAACAGAAGTAGGAACCTGACCAAGAATAAATTCCAAGGGTATAGGTGTTACTACTGTGGGAGACTTGGACACATTAAACCTCTCTGCTTCAGGCTACATGGATTTCCCAGTCACCCTTATCAAGGCAAATCCAAACAGGGTATTCATGCCAAGGAACAACATCAAGTTAGACCAAAAAGAGATGCTCAGGTCAAGAAACAACAATGGGTTGCCAAGGAGGTTGCTCTAGTAGCTCATACCTCTCTTAGGATGCCAACCAAAGAAGACTGGTATTTTGACAGTGGCTGCTCTAGACACATGACTGGAATGGAGAATTTGTTGAGGAACATCAAACCTCATTCCTCAAGCCATGTAACCTTTGGTGATGGAGCTAGAGGAGAAGTCATAGGTGCTGGAAAACTAGATTGTCCTGGTGTTCCAAGACTGGAAAATGTCATGTTGGTTAAAGGACTGACTATAAATCTTATCAGTATCAATCAGCTTTGTGACCAAGGTTTCAATG